ATATAAATGCAAGTGTGATTGAATCACCATATACGTATTTAGGTGCTGTGTATATCACTCAAAGCAAGGGCCCGTCTGCCCGAAAGATGCTATACAATTTTATTGACTAGATTGATTTCTCTATATACACAAGTTCAACTCGATTATCACCAGAAACGTTCCAAGTTCGTCGATTCATTAAATTGTTTACAGCTCCTCTCGGCTGACGGTACCAGGAAGGTTAGTCTTGTGCTCAAGCAACATATCGTGATCGGGGTTGAGACCAATACACGCCATAAGAATATTTGTGGCACAACGTTGCTGTTTCATGAGTGCATTGACTACTGGAGTACCCTTGGGTACTAGAGGTGCCTTGAGCATGTACGACAGAACACTCAGCACAGGCTTGAAACTCTGCCAGTCTGGTGAGTCTGAAGTCTTGTACTTGATTCTGGTCATAAGCTCAGTCATACATACTAGATCAATGATCAGTGGAGTGGCCAGAAGAGAATCCTCACACGTGTTGTGCATGACGATAGTGTTCATACCGTTCATGAAGATACGCGAAGTGTACTCGTCTAGAGCGCGCTTGGAGTCACCTACAGTGGGGATATACTTGATAACAACCACGTGATCAGGGTGTTCTCCTTCCTTGTACAAGATGCTGTTCATGGCCACCATATCGTCCACCACATTCGACTTGGAGATCTCTTTAGATCGGAACTGCGCTGGGGCGTCGAGGTTCTTACCGTCATTGTTACCCAAGTGATTGTAGGAAGCAATAGCCTCGACCTTGATACCAGCAGACACCAGGAAGTCCATCAGCACAGACTTCATCTTGGTTTGACCTGACTTGAAATCATCGCCACCGATGAACACATTGTGCTTCTCGGATAGCTCAATAACTCCAGGAACCAGAGTGTTCTGGGGAGATCCATTAATGTACGGGCAACCTTCCAGGATGGAGGCAATTGCAAAGATATTACTGGGAGATACCTCGTCCTTGTTCTCCTTTACAGAGTTTAGGATCTCGTCAGCGGTCATGTTCAGTCCAGGCTCCACATCTGTGAAACGCTCAGTGTTGGCTGTCCACAACACAACAACAGTGTCCAAATCGTGCTTCGACTTGAACTCCTTGATGTCGGATCTAATCTTCTCCAAATCCTTCTGTTTAGAGCCTGTTGAAAGCACATTATCAGCACGATCAGCCTGGTTGGCGGCGATGAAGTCGGGGTAGTAAATGGAGGGCATAGGTGTGATCTTCTCTAACTCAGGGCGCAACTTCTGACGCAAGTCATAGTCCAGTACAGCAGCACGGTCGGTCGCATCAGCAAGATTAGCGCCGTTGATATCCCATCCACCGACCACGAAATCATTGGGATGGGCCATGGGTAGAAGCGAGTTGAATGGCACATGTATCTCTTCTCCGTCGTTTGTGCTACCGAGACGGATGGTAGACGCCTGTGTGAGTGATCCGAAGTAGTTGGGCTCGAGCTTTCCAGTACGTCCGTTCCAACAGACATTGTGTTTGTTGGCTAGGATAGCTGCAGTTATAGTGGAACCATTGTTACCACCGAGACCGATAAGCATAACTCCGGTCTTACCAACCTTACGCTCCGTCTGGAACGTGTATTTGTGGAAGCCAGGGGTGACCTTGACAGTGTTTTCCTCGACTTTGACCTGGTTTTTAGTGTACAGGTACTTAGCCGTAATGTGCTCCTCTGTGTACTCCACATTCTCACTGTCCACCTCGATGTTAGGGACATCCATACCCTTCTCTGTGGAGAATCGTCTGCTCATACTGTAATAGATACTATCGGCACACCACACAAAGAGTTGAAGTAGTGTATATTTGAGTTTAGTACTGTAAGTGCCTGGCTATATATATATTTACGATCGTTCTCTCTTGTTGATTGCACATAATTACATGTCCCCGCTCACACACACACGCACCGGCACGAGTCATAGATATTGTTTGGTTACGGCCGCGAGAAGACAAAAATGGCCCTTTCCGTTTCTTTTTCGGGAGGAAAAATTAGGGCCAATACGAACATTTCTCGCACCACTTTATGTATTTTATGGGCATTTCGAGTAATTTTTACCGGCTGCTGGCCAGCACTGCCAATCAGAATCTACTTTCCTTTATTCGGGTGTGCAATAAAAAACATATTGGTAATGTTATATCAAAATAAAATACCAGTGCCGTGACGAGGCTCGTGGCCCGTGGGCGTTGCGCTCTCTGAGAGACTTAAGACCACAGGAGGAGAGTGGGGTTTCGATAATTTTATTATTGTTGTTGTTTTTTTAAACACCATATTGTTTAATTTTCAGAAGGCTATGCATATATTGTCGGGAGTATCCATTAGAAACGAAAAGAAAAACCCCCTGGCAAAAACCAATGACATAAAATTTCAAATTTCAAATTTCAAACCATAGTCTTCACTCTTCTGAAGAGTCAAGTTGAGTCTCTGGCTCTCTGCCCTCTGGCCTCTATTTTTCCTAAAAGAAACAATCTGAGACTGTGAGAGCTGAGCCTCTAGGGTGTTTTTTCCTTTGAACAGATAGTAATACACATAGTATACTATACCCGTTCGACGTCCACTAATAGATTAACACATATATTAAAATTAGCCAATCACAACATATAGAAACAAATTAAATTTTTGCTGCTCGACACAAGGGATTCTGTGTCACCACAAGTTCAGTCTTCAAAGTTCAGTGAGTTCACAGTTTCACACAACAAAAGATGAATTCTGTGGCTTTTGTTTGCGCCGGGGGCCCGAGCCCCGGGGTCCGTCGGCGTCAACTGTCAAGTCGTTAACCGTACCCATCAGCAGACGTCAGGCGTCGGCTGTTAGGCGCCAGACCGTCAGTCCCGTCACTGCCACGCTGGACGCTGTGTCATTCAAAATCCAAAAACATAGCTTTCATGAGCAAAAAGAATATATCATATAAAAATACTAATAAAAACGGCAACAGACCGAAAAACTGAAATACTGTACGTAGTCCACTTTTTTCTTAAAAACAATAAAGAGATAAAGAATCAGTATTCAGTAAAATAATAATAAAAGACCTTGACAAGCTGCCTCTGCCCTGGTCTTTGATACGAGAGTCGAGACAGACTCTCACTCGAGAGTCATTACTCAGGACTCGAGCCTCGATCCTAAAATAGAACACAAATATAGTTTTTTTTTTGCATAGAAATGTTCAATTTTCAGAGGGCTATATGTAGAATTGTTTTGTTTTGTTTTGTATTAATAGAAAAACAGCACCATATTTATTTACAGGCCCAGGCCCCAGGGGACCCAGCAACGGGGCGCCGGTGAAGTGGTGAAGACCGCGTGAAGCTGTGAACTCTCTCTAGGAAGTATTTATGAACTGTGAAGTCTTGCCATCCATAATAAAATAACGTCCGAGTTATCATCAGTCATGGGAGTCATCATTCATGACTCATCTCCCCAACTACACCATTTCTCACCGACTCGCGTCCAGCGAGATAGCTATTTAAATATATATATATGCGAAACGCCAAATTTGGCTAAAATACTTGTATACAGACGTACACATCATAGTGTTCTTCTTGTATTCATTTGCAGAATGTCTATCCTATGTTTACACATATGCATAGTAAGTGTGTTGCTTATATCTGGTGGCCATGCCGTACAGCTTCACAGCTCTGAGTTGGAATCTTCCAGCAGCATCTTGCATCCCTCCGCCAATGTACGCTGGTCCGGGGCCCCTTTTCGCAACAGGACTGGCATGGGTCCTGGAAGATGGTTGAAAGGTTTTCTGGACACTCCTTTGGATCATGATGATACTCACTGTGCCCATCAAGCAATGCAACGTACGCAATCGACGCAAGACCATGTAGAAAAGCTTGTGCAGGACAGCTCAAACAAGCTGTGTCCGACGGTGTCACTTCCCATTGTTGCGCGTCTGGCTGATGTACAACCAGCACCTCTCGGACCGATGCTGCTACACTGTGGTGGGCCTAGCAGTGGTAAAGAGTGTATAAACATATTTATCAACGGCACTACCGAGTTCTACGGCGCGCCGCGAATGGATAGTAGATTGTTGGCCAGCTACGACATAATCGGTATAGACCAGCGAGGGGTTCAGGACAGCCGACCTAGTGTGAACAGTATAGTATGTTTCCCTTCGAACCTGTCAGATACTGAACAGGTACTTGCCGCTATTTCAAATCGCACAGCAGTTCAAAAGGAAGTGTACAACGATCCCAAATATCACTATCCCAATGGGAAGAACTTTCTCGACTACACGAGCACACGAGACTTCGCCTTCGACTTGGATCTTCTACGTCAAAGCATCGGAGCCAAACAACTCAGCATCATGGGATTTTCTTATGGAACTTTAGTGGGTGCCACATACGCGACCCTTTTCCCTGCACACGCAGGTCGTATTCTTTGTTTGGGACCGGTCCTGTCTACTGTTGATGCGTCGGCATTTAGTGAGGGGACTGCACAGGCTTATGAGGGCGTGCTCACACGTGTTCTTAGGCTGTGTGATAAACAACAAGGGTGTCCCGCTGGACCGGATTCTCAGAAAATGTTGATAGATGTACTCGATAATGTGAAACGCGGGGTTTATTCATCCAGTGATGGGAAGACCTTGATGGAAACCGTGTTTTACAACTATGTCAAGGAGCATATAAGGTACTCGGTAGCCTACTACCATTTATTGAGCGTGGTAGCCGGTATCTCCAAGCACGACCAGGCAACAATCGACGAGGTTGTGGCGTACAGACCGGTGGACAACCGTGGATTGTGGTGTGATGTTGGCGAAGTGGGTGCCGTTTCCAATATCCATGGTTCCGATTATACTAGCCGGCTTGGTCCTCCAGAGATGCTTGGTGAGATAGAGCGAAGGTACGTATCTCCTGTCGACGCCTAATCTACTTCTGCTTGTTCTACTACGACTATGAGAACCCCATTCTGCCACCTTAATATGCTAATCACTTGTTTCATTGCTTATTCCTTCACACCCACTATCAGGGCTCGCCTGTATCCTCTAGGGGGCCAGTTCGAAGCCTTATGGTATCAGCTGGCCTTGTCTGGGTCTCAGAGTATGCCCCGACCCGTACGGCTGGGTGATCCCGATATACCGGTCCTGGTGGTGGGTAATCTCTACGACTCCGCTACCAGTTACAAATGGTCTGCAAGTCTGAGTAATGCTTTCCCCAACGGCCAGCTCATCACGTTCCAGGGAGATGGTATGTTGGTCGTGTGTACGTACTCGAGTATGCGTGTAATGCTCACGTGGTCGTGTGTACGTATTCGAGTATGCGTGTAATGCTCACTTGGTCGTGTGTACGTATTCGAGTATGCGTGTTGTTATTTGCAGAAGCACTTGAGCATTCACCAATCCCGTGCGAACGTTTGATTTACTATAGGACATTGTATGGCCGAGGCAGCGGTTGGCTACGCACGTGAGGACGCGAGTCAGTGCCAGGCCGTCCTGAACCAGTTCCTACTAGAAGGCTCCATAGACCCCTCCATCACACTGTGTCCTGTGCATGCCGAGCCCAACACTACGGCCGAATATGTACCCTGGACGTGGGAGGATGTGGATTCATATTCGACACGAAAGTTATGAGCAGGCTGTTGTGAGTGTTCTGGGTGTATCGAGAGAGGATAAGAACAACCCCGCAGACACCTGCCATTGGATTTAACATGACCAACCCTCAGCAAGATCAATAACGAATGTACCAACTGTATTGACCGTATATTATATATGGGCAGCGGATGATTAGTTAGTTATCGTGGGCAGCGGATGATTAGTTAGTAATTGTAACCACTAGGTCGTGAGCGATGTCAGAGCACGAGCTCACATGCACTGTAGCTGTCCCACAATGCAACCTTTGCTGTGTGTAGCATCGTTGTACTACTACCACCGCATCAACAAAGCGGAAAGGTCATCTAGGCCAAAAAAAAAAACCCAACAATCAAGAAACTAACCTTAAGCAACTGTTATCGAATGGTATCTTCGCTTCAGCAATGTACCAAATCTTGTTATCTAGAGGGTTGCGATCTTATTTCTATCGTCTTAATGAGAGACCCTTGTGTGCGTGTGTGTGTGCGTGTGTGTGTTATGTGTATTTATTTATATGTGCATATATTTACATATATATTTGTGTGTAAATATGTATATTTATATATATAAATATATGTGTTGTTTGCGTATGTGTGTGTGTGCGCGCGCATACATATATCGCACGCACACACACACACTTATATATGTATGTATATATATATGTGTGTGTGTGTATTGTATATGTTTAATATATATATGTGTGTGTGTTTGTGTTTGTAAGCTATCCATAAATACATTTTTGTATGTGTTGATGTGTGCATGTATATATGTATGTATATATGCATGTATTCATGTAAATATGTGTGAGTATGTACGTTGGTAGGTAGGCAAATGTGTGTACGTATGTGTGTGTTCATGAGTGCGTGTTCGTTTGTATGTTAATGTGTAGGTTCGTGTGAGAGTGTGTGTATGTGTTTCTGTGTCTGTCGTGTTTATATATATGTATATATATATATATATATGTACATATGTATATATATGTACATATGTATATATATATATATATGTGCATATATATATATATATGAATGTATGCTTGTATGTATATATATATATATATGTACATATGTATATATAGATATATGTACATATATATATGTATATATATATATAATTATATAGATATATGTACATATATATATGTATATATATATATATCTAAATCTATATATATAGGTGTATGTGTTTGTCTGTGTCTGTATGTGCGTGCAGATATACGTATGTCGTATATATAAATATATATTTAAATTATGTATGTCTATATCTGTATATGTATATATATATATGTGCGTGTGTGTGTATGTATGTATATAGATAATATATATATATAACTATTTTTAAAAACACATGGATATATATATATATATACATA